TTAAGTTAGTTTATTTAGTGACTTTAAGTTAGTTTATTTAGTGACTTTAAGTTAGTTTATTTATTGAATTTAAGTTAGGAATAGGTAATAATACTAGGAATAGGTAATAATGTCAGGAACATCTAATAATTAGTTATACTAGTTATAATAGTAACAATAGGTAATAATGCTAGGTATAGGTGTAGATGATAAAATAAATACCCTATAAACAAGGAGACCTATGATGAGAAACATTTATTTCGGCTTACCATAAGCACTCTTTCGACGGACAGTAAGTAAACCTGTCCGTGTACTGTCTATTTGACCACTGTCTTGGTTTAATTACTTAGCACCTAGTGAATCACTTTCTTGACTCACAATTTCTAAAGTGGAGCAGTGACGGGAAATACCTACCCGACGTATCGTCCTTTCCAGTATTATTGCGAAACGCCTTCTTAACTTATTCATCGGACCAGAAACGTTAGTTACTATATACCCAGCCCCTACATTCCAGAATATAGCTTTTACCATTATGTATATATATTCTAACAATACTGGGTCATCGGTACCAGCACTGGATTAATCCTTTGTTATTTGCACCCGGTGAGAACCTTGTCTCTAGATCAAGGCTGTTGGTGACAATAGTGACGTCACATGTCATTATAACACTAGTCTTACTCGGTCAAAGGTTGTTAGTGACGTCGCATGTTAGTTGTTTAAGACTCATAACGCAGGTAAATTAATCTGTAGAAATGTAACGGACTTTACTAATAGCATTAATATCTCACTCGGTCAAAGGCTGTAAGTAATAATTAATAAAATACAACATGGCTACTTGCTCAAAACCCGATAATCACAAGAGTAATTAACTAGAGACTTTAGTCTTAGCACAAACGTTCATGATATTCTTACCTCTCTTTGGCCTCTGTGTACACGTTAATATCACCGATTCAGAGTGAAATAGACACCTTCGTATCAAAAGAAACAGTTATATGCTAAGGAAACGGTGAATTAGGCCGTTTCGCAACTTGCTGCGTCAAATTTGGTTAGTTATTCCAAGAAACATTTCAGTTGTGACATAAAACAAGCATATAACGTTTTCTTCTTTAACAAATTTACAGTTAGTGGAACAATAGCTTGTCAATAAGAACACCGAAGAAGTCACGCCAATTACGAACATATAAGGAGATTAAAAATGTGTGACGTATTATGTCTTCCAGGAAGTGAAGAATTTTCTGCGAATTCTGAAAAAGCACTCTTGGCAGATATCATACAGAATGTGACATATTTAACTAAGGTGGTAGTCGCTCTAATTTGTTAACAAAAACTCTCCACGTACCGAGAATCTTCCTTTGGGAGAGAGGGGGGGCTGGTAGTCGCTCTAATTTGTTAACAAAAACTCTCCATGTACCGAGAATCTTCCTTTGGGAGAGAGAGGAGGGGCTGGTAGTCGCTCTAATTTGTTAACAAAAACTCTCCATGTACCGAGAATCTTCCTTTGGGAGAGAGAGGAGGGG